TGAAATGAATGGCATATTGTGGAGAAAACTGCTCGTTCTCAGAATGATAAGACCAATGGAATGGTTTACAGAGAGGCCCTTGCTTATGCTTATTGCTATAACAACCAAGGTCAGCCAATTTCATTATTTGCCCCCTTAGAGGGTTGGAAATGGAAAAATGTAGAGGGTTCACATCTGTGGGGAGGAACGGAAAGGACAGGTGACCCAAAACTGACCAGCTGGGGTATTCCATCCCGTTTGCCCCATGCTCAGTATAAAAGCTGAGGGATCAAAGGGTCAAGGGTCTTCCTGCGATCACCGACGTCCGAAGAGGACCTTGTCTGTTCATCTGCTTTTGATTCCGATCTGCGTGTTCTTGACTCCAGAGCTGGAATCCAGTCCCCATCCATCACTGAGATCAGTCTGGGACTTCCCCAGTGCCTGCCGGTGATGGGACTGTCATCCTGGGAGCTTGATACGGTTTTGTATATATTGTATCTATTTCATTATTTTCTTCCTTTTTATTTTAGTATTAATTCTTCATTAAAGTAGTTTAGTTCATTCTAAACTTCTAAATCTCCTTATCTCTTCCTCTCCTCTTTTTGAGGGGGTGGCGAGGGGAAGGGCCATCTGTCAGTCCAGTTTCGGTGATTTCGGCTAAAACCATGACAGTCCAGTGGCTGCCTGTGTATTATTGAGTTGTTTTGTTTTTTCTTTTTAATTTGGTTTTGAAAGGCATCACAACAAAGTACTCTAGAAGAAGAGGTAGCACTGCAACGGAGGGACAGATGAGGACTAATCATGAAGCAGCTTCTTTTGAAGTCAAGTGTGTGGGAGGGGAATAACAGAGACAGGAGTAGAACGTCCCATATTAATTGGGGGCTGAGAAATACCTTTACGAAGGCTTTGAAAACAAAGTTGGGGAGGACTAGATAAGCTATACTGGAGTTTATAAGGTAGTAATAGTTTATAACTCTGGAGAAAGAGGATATTCTTTCTTTCATCAGTTCTTTTGGGTTGTATGGAAGGGAGGAGATTGCTTTATAGTGAAAATACACTATATAAATAAAACCAGCATCTGCAGAACAGGCGACTTTGTGCTTGTTGGCAGAAACCACAGATCCAAAGAAAGGAAACTTGTTATAAAAGTATTTTCTGATTGGGGTGCCTTTGTCAGCAGTAGGAAGACAAAATTTACATGAAGGCTTTTAATTAAAACCAAATGCATATTTGTAATTATTTCCTGATCTTCATGGCAACCTGCAATTTTCTTTTTTCATCAGTGAAGTAAAGGAAAAGATGGATCTTGCTTACTGATTTGACTAAATAATTTGCCCCTTCACTCTGATTTACCAGTGTTGTTTTACTGATAGAAAATACGCACTTTGTAATTTGAATGGTAGGTGGTAGGTTTCAGCCTTAAACTGGTTTTATACAAAGGAAGAGGCTGGGTGTTCGTTTTGGCAACTCTGCTCATTTCACTCAGTTTACATTTGATTTTATCTGCAACCCATCTCTTTCTACTCTATATCTTTTCAGAGATGCAAACAAGATGAGAGATTTTGTAGAGCACTTTGAGTGCCTTTTCCTCTGCGTTCACACTGAGTTACTGTCCAGGGCTGAGCCCTAGGAAGGAGAGTGCCACCTTGTAGTCAGCTGAAGTAGCAACTAGAATTTTGAGAGGATTAAAGAAGTTTTTTGGGCTGAGCCCAACTGTTTTTGTGAGAAAGGGCACTCTGCTCCAGTGCCTTCCAACTTGGAATCAGTCATAGCTCGGGGGAAAGCATGCTATTTGCTGAAACAGCAACATATGTCAAGGCACAAATATATGCCACATTTTTTCTGCTATTTCCAAAAAAAATCTCCCATTTAGATATTAACCAGATCGAGTGCTGCTAAAACAATGAATTGTGTGTGACGCGTCCACTGTCTTGGGTAATAGGGCTGTGATCAAAATGTTTTGAAACACTGCAATGGGAAAAGAGAGGAAAAAAAAATCTGTAGTACAAAATGTAATTTTTACTCAGTGCCCGCCCCCTGCCCCATGAAGTTCCCAAACCAACTTTTCCCCAGCAATATGAAGTTTTAAAGAAATGAGCAGATGTAGGGACTTGACGTCACCTCAGCTGAGTATAATGAAATAGAAGGTCTGTCTTTATGTAATGAAATCAAGGCAGACAGCAATAGGAAGCAAATTATTGACTAATAAGGTCACAGTTTGTGCTGGGGAGCATTCCTGCTTTGTGCAGAAGCTTCTATCCTTCCCATGGCAGTATAAAGTATCTCTTTACACCCTGGTGTCCAGGGAGTTTCTCTTTGTGTGTTAGAAAAAATGGTAAACTTAGTAGATGCAATTTGCTGAGTTTAATTTTCTACTCTGTAATAAGGGTGAAGACACAGTAAAAATGCTCTCTTTGAATTCAGAGAGGATATGAACATAAATAGCCATTATTTTTAATTATTTAGTGATAAGACAATTTATCACAGTCCTGAGGAAGAGAACTTCAAAGCACATTTTGACTCAAATATTCTCTGAAGAAAACGTTTGCACCAAGACGGTGCTCTGCTCCAGACATTTTCATGGCACAGCCATTTCCAGTGTTGGTTTCCAGCAAACTCACAACATGCTGCTGGGGATATGGCTTTTATCTGCAGTTCCTCGAACATCTGCTCAAGGTTTTGAGGGGTTATGATGTACCTATCAGGACCTGCAAATTGGCCATAAAGGGTATTTGGGATCACAACTCCATTTCTCAGCATTCCTTTCAACAGCTAGGTTGTATTTAGCCATAACCTAACCCTGGATATGTATTTAGACACCTGTTTATACCCCTACATATTTATATCTGTATATGTATGTGTAAGTATATGTATCTGCATGCACGGGTCAGGAGTTTTATCACCCCCTACATATTTATATCTGTATATGTATGTATATGTATCTGCATGCACGGGTAAGGAGTTTTATCAGCAAGTAGAGACATCTAAGTTACAGTTCTTCTCACTCTAAGCTCATTGTATGGCTAACAGAGAAAAACAAGCACCTCAGAGGGTGATTTAATGCACTTAGACCTGATTCACCCTTTGAAAGCGCTTCTCCACTGACAAGAAAGACCTTAACATGAGTGAAGTTATGTACCTAGAGTATGAATCTCTCCTGACTCTCATCTTCCTTTTACACTTTTCTTTAGACTTAAAAAAAAATATATATATCATTTTTCCATTTCTCAAAACCTCTTCAATTTCAAAAAAACCCCAACCCCACAACCATCTCAAATCAAAACTAGAAACAAAAAACTGAAGAAGCCAAAATAAAATAAATAACATCAGATAAAACAACCTTCGAAATTACCACAGCTTGGACAAACTGAAATGATTTGTTCAATGTTCAGTTTTTAATAAAAACATTAAAACCCATGGTGGTGAGGGATGTGGTTTAGTGGTAGACTTGGCAGTGCTGGATTAACGGTTGGACTGGATGATCTTAGTGGTCTTTTCCAACCTAAATGATTCTGTGATTCTATAATTTACATAAGTTTGGAAAAGTAATGTTTTCAAAATAATTAAAATTCTGAGCAAAACATCTAGGTAGCCTTGAAACATTCTTCTCAAAGTATATTTGACCTTCTAAACACTTCGTATCACCTTCTGCAACAATTTTTTTTTTAATAAAATAATTCCTGATCACAGTCTACTTCTATTCATTTATTTTACTTCGCTGTAGTGTGGCATTTCCACTCTCTGCTTTCATTGTAATGCTTATGAAATTATCAATTCTGCAAAGGTTTATATGCAGCCATCTATTATGAGACAGTATCCCAAAACGCGGCGTAGTCCAATTGTTTATGTGGAAATGTTTGCTTTCTTCAAGAGTTTAATACTTCTGCACAGGCCGTTGGGAGTCGTTCCTGCCTGACTTTATGAAGATGCTCATATCCCAGGCGTTACCATCAGGACAGTATATCAGTGTGTGGGGAGGTGCTGGGATGTTCTTCATCAGTAGTTGTTGCTGATCTGGCAAGAGGTGGTTGATGCTGGTTATTGCCCTGTGCAACCAGGGGGGCTGGTGGGGTCTGAGAGTGGGAAAGCCATGGTGGGGGGAATCCTGGGCTGTGGGAGCTGAGGATGTACACTACAAACTGTAGTGTATGTGTGCTGGTATGAGAGTGAGGTGGAAGTATGGAGGGAGGATGTGCGTTTCTGGGTTTGCTGGGAGGATTTGGGGAAGGAAAGAAAGAGTGGAGTCATGGCTGCTTCTGTGCTCTCACCAGGCTGGCACGGAATAGGCACCTACGGCCACAGGTTTTTGCCACCTCTGAATCATAGAATCATAGAATCATAGAATTTCCCAGGCCGGAAGGGACCTCCAAGGGTCATCTAGTCCGACCTCCCCACAGTCAGCAGGGACACCCCCAACTAGACCAGGTTGCCCAGGGCCTCGTCGAGCCTCTCCTTGAATATCTCCAGGGAAGGGGCCTCAACCACCTCCCTGGGCAACCTGTTCCAGTGCTCCACCACCCTCACAGTAAAGAACCCCCTTCTAATCTCCAATCTAAATCTGTTCCCCTCCAGCTTAAAGCCATTGCCCCTCGTCCTGTCACTACAGGCCTTTCTAAACAGGCTCTCCCCAGCCTTCCTGTAGGCCCCCTTCAGGTACTGGAAGGCTGCTATTAGGTCTCCCCGGAGCCTCCTCTTCTCCAGGCTGAACAACCCCAGCTCCCTCAGCCTGTCCTTGTAGCAGAGGTGCTCCATCCCCCTGATCATCCTTGTGGCCCTGGTGAGTATATATGCAGATGAAGCTAGAGATTGAGAAAATACAAATTTAAGAAATATTTCAAACCTGTTGACATTTCAAATAAGAACAAAATATGACGTTATTTTAATCAAAGCTATGAAGTGACTTCATGGGTCTCTTCCAACCTGAATGATTCTATGATTCTATGATTCTATGATTCTATGAATCGCAGGTCGAATTTGAAAAGGAACCTTTTAACTTGCATCAGCATTTTGATCAATTTCAGGTACAAAGCAATTGTGAATCCCATGGACATCCAGACCTCCAGTGCGGTGCTATGGACCTGCATCAAAGCCATTGCCATCTGGGTGGTCTCCATGCTCCTAGCAGTTCCTGAAGCGGTCTTCTCTGAACTGGCCCACATCAATGACACGGACAATGCCACTTTCACAGCGTGCATACCCTACCCCATGACGGACGACATGCACCCGAAGATCCATTCTGTGCTGATTTTCCTGGTGTATTTTCTTATCCCCCTTGCCATTATCAGTATCTACTACTATCATATTGCAAAGAGTTTAATAAAAAGTGCTCACAACATCCCCGGAGAGTACAGTGAGCATTCCAAAAGACAGGTAAGCAATTTGCTTTTTGTACATCCTGATGAAAGATTTGTGTGCTGTATACACTTACAAATTAAAGTACAGGAACTACAACATCCAAATTGTTGGATTTCGTAGAGGATTAGTTCTGTTTCCACACGCATGAACTAAGCCAAAGATTATCCAAAAAATCTCCTTGTTTTCACAATTACTCAGTAATAAGCCCAGTATGTAAATGAATATGAGCAAGGAAAAATATAAATTCAGTGCTATCTCTGTGTAATCCTAACAAGAAATGAGGTCGGTGTATGTGTTTGTATGCATTGTTACTGCAACCATTACTTGCGTTCTTACTGGGGAACAACATTTTTGTAGGTAATGGTAGTGGCTTCACCTCTCTCTATAGGCAGCCATTTTGGGAAGAAAACTTACATGAACTTTTCAAGAATTCTCTATCTTTTACTTGTGCTTGGAAATGAAAAACCTGACATAGGGAAGGAAAATTTTTCTTAGGGGATCTAAGGTTCTTCTCAGACTGATGAGTGCCGAAAATATGAACACAGCGCATGAACTGATTCATTTTTGGCTTTCTCAGTAGATCTTTATGGGATACAATCCTGAACTTGCACTTTTCTAATACCCTTTCTATTATAGTTGCTATCAAATTTTTGGTATAGGTTCTGTGTAATTTTGAGACAAAGCATTTTAAATGCTGGACAAAGCCAGCTTCCCCGTAAGGCATAGGAAGCAGTAAAATAGCAACGGGCTGTTCATTAGCAGGAACATTTATATACACAAACAATAGCATTTGCAGAAAAAGTGCCTCAGCTACTTTACAAAAGTGTTAGTATTGATAGAGAAAAATAATTATACCCATTAAAACAATTTGGAAGGGTTTTCTCTGCCAATGTTTTATAAAATCACCTTATGCTAACTGAAATCTCCTTGCACATATAGCATGTAAATATTCTTTTAAAAAGAAAGACCACATTCCCTCATGTCCTTTTTGCTCAGCACTTCATTTCTGCTCTGGCCTGTTTCTTCTCAAAAATGCATACATATTAGTACTTCATGTATTATTTTATTTTTCTGTGAAATATAGAGAGCCTTTGGCTGAACCCTCAGGATAGAAACAATATTTAATTTATATCACATTTCTGGACCCACATGCATTTTCAAAGTAAGAACATATTTTTTCATTCTACTTAGGTGTTTTTTTTTTTCTTTTTGTCAATCTATGAGGCTCTGAAGAATAGAAAATTCCGGTGTACTTACATAAATCCCAGCAAGTGGAATTAAATTCAGACTATCACTATCAACTCATGTTTCTTTAGGCCATAGCACAAAAGTGTAGTATTCACCCTATACCTCTGTGCCTTTTTGTCTGCCTTTGCAATCTCTCTGAGTGCAAATCCTACCAAATTGGAATGGTAGAGTTTTCCCATCTTTTGTGAATTCTCTACTGGTTGTGGTTTAGATGAAGCCAAGAAAACTACTTACCGATTTATTTCACAGATCTTGAAACCCTGTTAGAATAAATCCACTTGAGTTTTTCAGGTTAAAACTGATAGAAAATTGAGCAAAGCCAAAAAACTTTCCCATCTCTGTAAAACTTTGGTCTTTGACATCCGTAATAAATCTTTTGGGAGGAAAATGTAGAAAGCTTCTGCCTCCCTTTTGGTGCTTTCTATCTGGCCAGTTTCTCTCCCTCTCTCGGTTCAGACTCACTGTGTAGGCTCATTTCCTGTCAACTTTTCAGCCACTCTCACTATCTACATTGTGATCCAATTATACTTTAGCACTGCAATTAAGGTACATTTCATTCACGTCATCGCTGAAGATTAACCGAGCCTTTCACCTTACCCTGGAATTAAGGTGCTTCAGATTGTGCAATGCAGTTTTGGAGATTTGTCTAGGAGAGAGGTGCAAGCTGAGGCATTTCAGAGAAAATATTGGGATGTAAGTACCATTGTATAGCTATCACCCTAGCACTGCCTCTCCATTTCACTCAAAACGTCTCTACGTTTCAAAGCCAATGGTTTCTAAATGGCTTTCCAACTAAAGCTAACTTTCAAGCCAAGCACTGAAATCTCATCAGAAAAGGTTATGTTTCATGGCATCCTTCGGTGGTATGTAGGAAACTGGGTGATAACTGTTTGTGGTGGGTACTATATGAACAGGAACAAGAAGGAAGTCCCTGACCTGAAAGGTTTTTAAGTGGAGACAACACAAGGTACAGAAACAGAAGTGCAAGGAAATATTGAGGCAATTCTGCTTGGGATGGTAGGCTGTTGTCCTGGTTTGTAGTAAAACCGAACCAATTTTGTGTTCTGTAATTTTACATTTTAGCAAGACCTCCTCTAACTCTCTGAAATGAATGGCATATTGTGGAGAAAACTGCTCGTTCTCAGAATGATAAGACCAATGGAATGGTTTACAGAGAGGCCCTTGCTTATGCTTATTGCTATAACAACCAAGGTCAGCCAATTTCATTATTTGCCCCCTTAGAGGGTTGGAAATGGAAAAATGTAGAGGGTTCACATCTGTGGGGAGGAACGGAAAGGACAGGTGACCCAAAACTGACCAGCTGGGGTATTCCATCCCGTTTGCCCCATGCTCAGTATAAAAGCTGAGGGATCAAAGGGTCAATGCTCTTCTTGTGATGGCCGACGTCCAAAGAGGACCCTGCCTGTTCATCTGCCTTTGATGCTGATGGTGTGTTCCTGACTCCAGAGCTGGAATCCAGTTCCTGTCCGTGGCTTAGTCCAGTCTGGGACTTTCCCAGTGCCTGCCAGTGATGGGACTGTCATCCTGGGAGCTTGATACGGTTTTGTATATATTGTATCTATTTCATTATTTTCTTCCTTTTTATTTTAGTATTAATTCTTCATTAAAGTAGTTTAGTTCATTCTAAACTTCTAAATCTCCTTATCTCTTCCTCTCCTCTTTTTGAGGGGGTGGCGAGGGGAAGGGCCATCTGTCAGTCCAGTTTCGGTGATTTCGGCTAAAACCATGACAGTCCAGTGGCTGCCTGTGTATTATTGAGTTGTTTTGTTTTTTCTTTTTAATTTGGTTTTGAAAGGCATCACAACAAAGTACTCTAGAAGAAGAGGTAGCACTGCAACGGAGGGACAGATGAGGACTAATCATGAAGCAGCTTCTTTTGAAGTCAAGTGTGTGGGAGGGGAATAGCAGAGACAGGAGTAGAACGTCCCATATTAATTGGGGGCTGAGAAATACCTTTACGAAGGCTTTGAAAACAAAGTTGGGGAGGACTAGATAAGCTATACTGGAGTTTATAAGGTAGTAATAGTTTATAACTCTGGAGAAAGAGGATATTCTTTCTTTCATCAGTTCTTTTGGGTTGTATGGAAGGGAGGAGATTGCTTTATAGTGAAAATACACTATATAAATAAAACCAGCATCTGCAGAACAGGCGACTTTGTGCTTGTTGGCAGAAACCACAGATCCAAAGAAAGGAAACTTGTTATAAAAGTATTTTCTGATTGGGGTGCCTTTGTCAGCAGTAGGAAGACAAAATTTACATGAAGGCTTTTAATTAAAACCAAATGCATATTTGTAATTATTTCCTGATCTTCATGGCAACCTGCAATTTTCTTTTTTCATCAGTGAAGTAAAGGAAAAGATGGATCTTGCTTACTGATTTGACTAAATAATTTGCCCCTTCACTCTGATTTACCAGTGTTGTTTTACTGATAGAAAATACGCACTTTGTAATTTGAATGGTAGGTGGTAGGTTTCAGCCTTAAACTGGTTTTATACAAAGGAAGAGGCTGGGTGTTCGTTTTGGCAACTCTGCTCATTTCACTCAGTTTACATTTGATTTTATCTGCAACCCATCTCTTTCTACTCTATATCTTTTCAGAGATGCAAACAAGATGAGAGATTTTGTAGAGCACTTTGAGTGCCTTTTCCTCTGCGTTCACACTGAGTTACTGTCCAGGGCTGAGCCCTAGGAAGGAGAGTGCCACCTTGTAGTCAGCTGAAGTAGCAACTAGAATTTTGAGAGGATTAAAGAAGTTTTTTGGGCTGAGCCCAACTGTTTTTGTGAGAAAGGGCACTCTGCTCCAGTGCCTTCCAACTTGGAATCAGTCATAGCTCAGGGGAAAGCATGCTATTTGCTGAAACAGCAACATATGTCAAGGCACAAATATATGCCACATTTTTTCTGCTATTTCCAAAAAAAATCTCCCATTTAGATATTAACCAGATCGAGTGCTGCTAAAACAATGAATTGTGTGTGACATGCTCACTGTCTTGGGTGATAGGGCTGTGATCAAAATGTTTTGAAACACTGCAATGGGAAAAGAGAGGAAAAAAAATCTGTAGTACAAAATGTAATTTTTACTCAGTGCCCGCCCCCTGCCCCATGAAGTTCCCAAACCAACTTTTCCCCAGCAATATGAAGTTTTAAAGAAATGAGCAGATGTAGGGACTTGACGTCACCTCAGCTGAGTATAATGAAATAGAAGGTCTGTCTTTATGTAATGAAATCAAGGCAGACAGCAATAGGAAGCAAATTATTGAATAATAAGGTCACAGTTTGTGCTGGGGAGCATTCCTGCTTTGTGCAGAAGCTTCTATCCTTCCCATGGCAGTATAAAGTATCTCTTTACACCCTGGTGTCCAGGGAGTTTCTCTTTGTGTGTTAGAAAAAATGGTAAACATAAATTAGTAGATGCAATTTGCTGAGTTTAATTTTCTACTCTGTAATAAGGGTGAAGACACAGTAAAAATGCTCTCTTTGAATTCAGAGAGGATATGAACATAAATAGCCATTATTTTTAATTATTTAGTGATAAGACAATTTATCACAGTCCTGAGGAAGAGAACTTCAAAGCACATTTTGACTCAAATATTCTCTGAAGAAAACCTTTGCACCAAGACAGTGCTCTGCTCCAGACATTTTAATGGCACAGCCATTTCCAGTGTTGGTTTCCAGCAAACTCACAACGTGCTGCTGGGGATATGGCTTTTATCTGCAGTTCCTCGAACATCTGCTCAAGGTTTTG